CAAGCCCGAGATAATATTTGAACACTCGTCACGTTTCATAAGGTCACGGCGCGTTTTAAAAGCTGTTCCAGTAATATACTTGACTATCCAACATTCGGGTGCTCTCAGAAAAGGTTTACAACTATATACATTTAACATACTGACTAAATGACATTTAGTATTTTCATTTTAACAAGCCTCTATTTAAAACTTACCAGAGATTTAAATCTTTAGACGCGCATCCAAATTATGTTCGCGTTGTAATTCTCTTCTATTGTACCATTCATTAAGGAGCCCACTCTTGCTCAAACTCAAGAGGGTGATTTGATTAAATCATCAATATCAAATTTATAATTAGGAAAGTATATAAATAAGGACAAACTAAACATGAAGTGATTAGAACAAGCGAGTTTATAAAATAACCTTGATAAAAAAGTCGCAGTTAGTCTAAATATAGAATTTCCAAAACAACGAGTATTAATTTTGTGGCATTTCCGCTCAATAAATACAATATTTATTGAGTGACATCTACAAGTTTACTAAATACTACTATGAGTAATAGTGACGTTTAATAAGGCACGAAAAGGCTCTTTGCACAGCTTGAAAGCAGAGTTAAAGCTATTGGTCCTAGATAAATTAACTCATATTATCTCAAAGTGACACGTTTTTGTGAGCAAGTATAGCCTAATGATTTTAATCTCTGACTGTTATTTTAACAAAAATCGTCACTGACTCCAAAATCAAGCAGACAAAAAATCTGTTTTAATTTATCCTTTTCTAATTAAGGAGTTCTTCTTATGCTCGCTTTCTAATAAACAAAGCTCTGTCCAAGATTTCAGCAAACGTATTGTCACATAAAAATAATAACTTAAATCACGGCCTTTAAATTTGTGCCGCGAGTGGCATTAAACAATAATCTCATGTAATTTTCAAAGTTTTGTGTTTCAGAAATATTGACCTTAAAAATATTATATAGTTTCCTCGTTTAAGAAAAATCGAGCAAAGAAGCGTTTTTGTCTACAAATGCTTGACTTCAAAGTTGTGGACGAGTATTTTATTTTTATAGTCTTAATAAACAGATTGAATTGGCACTATTTGAGTATTCAGTACATAGGAAAAGGCACTCGAAACTCGAATCCGTACATTCCAATAACGCAGTAAGTAATTCAACTTGGTGCTTGTTCACGATAATTCGACGGTTAGGACATAGAATTGATATGCAAGTGTTTTTGTACAAAATGCACGTGCAGCGAAAGTTTCGAGCGAGCTCGTGCCCATATTATATATACATTTGGTATTTTGTATGAGTGTTGACGTCGAACTAGCAGCAAAACACACGACTGAATTGTAACAAAAGAAAACAGATTTCATCTTGTCATCAATGTATAAGGCTTTACAGCTAGCTTGAACTAGAATTCAAATTTAGCGAAGATAACATCAGAAATCATATGAAAAGCTTGTCTTTTTTATTTTAATGAATATTAAAAGAGCGTCGTCCATGTTTATCGCATCGGATGACACATCACGGTCGCACATATGCCTGGCTTCCAATCTGAATATAAGCCAGTCTAGATCAGGTCGGCCACCTTATGAGTAAAGACGAAAACTACAATCTATGAAATTTCATAGTTTTTAAAAAGACACTGAAAGAAACCGTTTCCATATTTTTAATATTACCTCGACGCTAGACACGTACGCACTTATTCGATAACACACAAATGTTCACACTATGTGACACGGGCATTGATATTTAAGTCACATATTTGTGCGATTATAAATTTGTATATTTGTTTGTTTTTTTAACTTTATATTTGAAATTTTATGTATAATAACCTTGGAGTATCTATCTTAATTATAATAGTCATAAAAAAAACGTATTATAATATGGGTCCTAACTATTGATCCATTACATTATTTAAAGAGTTTTGAGGGCAAAGTTTTTTTTAATGGAAATTTAGAGCAAGTTGCCGGCCCCTGGTTTCGACCATCCCGCCTTCTGGCGCACCCTCGCGTTGCACGTGAACAAGCACTTACTTTTTCATGTTGGCATTGTATACAGTTTCAATTACAAGCTTACTATCGTGATTTTAACCAGTTGGTTAATCAGTTTATGTGAAATAATGTACGTTATTGTGATGTACAGAATTCAAAACGAAGTAACAAAGTAAATGCCGTGGCCCCCTCTCTCTGTCAACTAACAGCTGTTCATTTATTTGGACGAAGTCGATGCGCGTACGCATATTTTTTACATAGAGCAAATGAAATAGTATTATCTTTATAATTATTAAAAATTTTCAGTTTTTTTTATTAGTATTTCGAAATATATTTCATTATCATTATGAGACAATTTGGAAGAGCAATAAGCATTATGGAAGCTCTTTTAGAATCAAAATAACAGATGTATAAGTATGTAACTAGTATGGTATTAGTAACATGAACACATTAAGAGCTTGGCATTAAGCAAAATATAATGTCATATTTATTAATTTATCGATTAACAGTAATGTCACATAAAAGTTAAAAACCGTTGAAACTTTTCTCCAATTTTAGAATACGCATGCGCGTGACATAACAAATGAGAACTACAAAAAACCAGTCTTACAAAGGTCACCTCGAATACATAAGACTTTATATCGAAAATTACTCTGTTCTGATGAATATTGTTTTAAAATAAAAATTAAATCGCAACCTCTTCAGAAGACACAACTGATTAAATTCTTATAACATAGATAATTATTTTGATTAAACACGGTGATGATGAATTATGCATTTTGTACAAAATCATATATTAACAATTAATTTAATGTTACACTTTTCACTTGTGGATATATTTTTCATAATGAATAATGAATACGATTAAAATCACATTTTTAATTAGTACAATAGTTTTTATGAATACTACGAAGGTTTTATCGCGTTCGTGTGTCCGAATAAAAAAAAATAATGGTTCTAATCTGTCTAAATAAGGCATTTATCGCAGTTAGTTATAGTAATAATATCACTTGAAATTGAAATACTACGCAACAGTTTTCAAATAATTCAAAACATAACACTATAACATATTTATACTGGTATAATACTTTGTGAAAGGAATTATTAAAGATAAAATATAATAAATTCTGTGAGGCACTTTCTTACAATCCCTTTTATTCTTATTATTGATTTTTTTAAATTATTATGCAATTAATTGGAATACTGATATGATTTATAAATAATAATTGATACTGGTTCTACTATACTTTTATATATATAGTAAACAATGAATGGAATGTTCGTATTACAATAACAGGTAAGGCGAAAAGGATACTACGATAGTAAAAATACTTATAACATTTCAAAAAAGACAATATTCTATAGGATTCACATCTAACACTACTTCGAATAATAGCAACCATTTATAATTCCTTATAACCCTATATACATATAATTATATATAAAAAAAAAAAATCTTGTTGAGCTGTTCAACATTTATCACACGAGTTTCTTAGCACATTGGCAAGCCCTTGCTTCGTGAGCAAAAATGGCAATTATCCATCGGCAATAATCAATATATATAACAATAATAAAACCCAACGTCTGTAAAGGCTGATTGGAATACAGAACACTTAAACTATCGACTGCACCATCAAAACATAATACACAATAGTTACATAATAGCATTTTGAAAATTAAACCGTCAGAGCATTTTTAGTCCCGTTAGTGAATGGAAAAAGTTTCTAAAAGCGTTTAGGGAGAATTTTTTTAGGCATCATATATAGGGCATTTAACAGTCTTTTAGATTATAATTAATTTAAGAAATAATAAATATACGTGAAAAAAAAAAAAATAGGTTTTATTTAAATTCACTTTTACATTTAATATAGTGCATTTGTGTAAGTGAGTCATACGAATAGGGATGACGACTAATTTTTATTTGTTTGATGGGTTGATTAGATTGTTAAAAAAATATTAAACACGTATTTTTCTTTGTTATCATTAAATAATGGCGATACATAGTTAAAATGTCACGCTTTTCTACAAAACTGTGACGTAGCGAGCCCCCCTCTCATCAACTTAATGTATGTTATCTGAGCTATTTCTGGTTAAATTGAAGTTAAAAAAAATACGCATCTAATATTTTTCTATTAACTTACTGACGGACTAAATAGATTTTTTTTTTTTACCCAGTCGTCATCAATATTGTTTCTAATCAAAGTCATACATTTCTCTTTAAAATTTCAAAAACCACTCTTAGACTAGTTAGAGTGCTCAACCAAACCGTCAGTACGTACGTCAGTCGCGCTTGACATTTATATGAAAATTTATAAAACCTACTGCGGAACTGACGTACGGTCAGTTTTGCTCAGTCAGTTCAGTACGTACCGTACACGTATCTTGATACGAACTACGTACGCACGTACGTACAAAAACGGTTGTTTGAGCGCAAGCGTAAGTGTAAGTTAAGTTGCTCCATTGACACGCTATGAAAACAAATGAACGTGTTAAAACAGCCTCGAACACGCCGAACGTAGCGCTATTACGTCATAAAGGTACAATCAAATACAACCTACTTCAAAATGTAATAAAGGTTTTATTTCATTGAAGCTTCGTTATATAACAGCACTGCGTTCGATGGCGAGTTGGACGAAGAGTTTTTAACAGAATAGCACTAATGCACTAATGACCATTTCACTACCAGTCTGATCAGCAACAACAGAGCACTAACAGTCGGTGGAGTTCGGGCTTACTGTCAAAATGAGAGTATATCGATAAGATGGCAAAGGATACTTACTATACTATATAATAAAGATAGAACAATAGATGCCTTTGTAAATTATAGGTTCATAATAAATATAGATCGACTTTAAACAGACCATTACGAATGACGATTTGATTTCCAAAGTGCAGTATGTGTCCAATCTTTACGATTGCCAATTGTTGTATGATTCTAATCGATAAATATAATCTTTTTGGAATGACAATCAGACTTGTACGCTTTAAATCTCTCTTTGTTTACGAATTAAGGTGATGTAAGTAACATACTACATAATGATACAGCACCTGTGCGATCTAGTGTCGCCTACTACATCGCTGGTGTTGCCACTGAATCTTGGCACGGTGCCAGTACTGGGCGACAAGCTAATAGGGTTCAATTGAACAGGTATGTCCTTCGTCATCTCCGGTATAGAATTAGTACTGTGATTATTTGTTGAACTGAGACTGTTCTCCACTGGACTGCCGTTCGTTCTTATCTGGGCTCTTTGCTTCTTCAAATCCGCTAATGTCCCTGAAACGTGTCAGAGAAACAATGACGATTGGGCACCAACAAATTTCATATTTCGAAACTAAAGAAATCAAAATAACTCGCATTCATTCTACCGAGATAAGCATAACTGTTTCATTGAATAGACGGACGTTTCTCAATCATAAGTAGTGCATCACTTTCACATTTGTTAGTAAACATTATGCTTATCTTCATTAGAGCAATACAAATGAATTTAAATTGTGTAAAGAATTTCATCATATGTGTAATAAAACAAAGTGCCAAAGCTCAAGGGTGTAAACTATAGTAAATGTGAAATAAGTAAAAGTGTACACAATATTTCTAAAGAGACAGAAAGAAAGATGAAGAGAGCACTATCATGCATTTGTCTAAGACTACTTCAGGCGATGTAAACGATCTCACAGAAGGAACACCAATAGATTAGATATCATGCAAGCTACAACCGAGACTGCTTGCCTCATAATATGCATCCTCGCTTTCGATATTGGGAACCCGGCACACAGTCCCTCCAACGCATTATAATAAACCATCACTGTGCAAAACTGTTAGAGAACTTTACAGATAACCTTGTTATGAATCATTGTGCTATATATAAAGTGCTTTTACTTTCATATTGTTCGTAAGGATGCATATAATTACCTGCGTTAATCATGACGGTGACATGAACATTGATTTTACCATTATTGTCCGTGGTGTATGTAGCGGTGCCGCCTTCAGTGATCGCGATTTGATTGGGGTTGACGACCAACTCTTTCCTACCGTCTAGCGAATCCTCCGACTTGAAAGCGTCATTGTCTTGGCCTTCCGGTGCTTTCCTGACGCCGTTCGGTAGGCTCTTTTCGTAGTGTTTCTGCTCGATACTTATACTTTCGTGGACTTGTATCGAGCCGGGCGCGTAATGCGATGCGGCGTTCACGCCGAAAAGGGGATTAGTAATTTTAGGTTGGATGTATGTGATACTTTCGTTGGTGTCACTGACATCACTGTTCCTTTGCGTAGAGCCTCGTTGGCTGTACGTATGTTTGGGTACCGAGTAGTCGACGGTAGAATCATAGCTGTGGTTGGAGGTGGTAGAACTGGTGGAGAGCCTTTTGTGTGGCAGTTCACTCGGTTGCAATTGGTTAGCGCTGTTTTGGTCATTTTCCGTGCCATTTGACAGGCCCTGCAAATAAACATCAGTATGATTCAATGAAATGATATTAACAAAATTGTAGCTTCGATCATTGTTTTTGCCATTATCTAAGAAGAAAAACGATACCCTTGATATTATTATTATAATAGATAATAAGCACGTCAGGTCACTACGATATGCTGAATTTCTGCAATTGATTCGAAGCCTTAATCTAGTAATAGTTAAATTCAAAATTAACTGCAGAAACTTGGCCTCTTGTAGTTATCTGATGTGCTCCTGTGTACACACACAGTGATAATTCCTTAGTTATAAAGAAATATAATTTTTCTGTGAAGTAATATTGAACAGATGAATTTTATATCTGATTATAAAGACGCATTTTCCGCCATAGTACGGTTGCTCGTAGGATGAAGTCCATTATACCTAAATAGGATATCAAAAAACTTTAAGAGTATTTTGCAGGTCAACTAATCACTGCATTTGTGGACTGCAACTGCAAATTGCAGTCTATAAGTGAATGCGCTACGTATTTGGCTTTACCGAAATACAATTATTTTAATTTAGTCTTGGTAATGTTGACAAAAGTTGAAAGTGTAAGAATTAAGATATTACTTAAAATCGTTAACTTATTTGGAAACACTTCGATTGATCCATTATTAATTAAATAATAAACCTTAAATTTAACAAGTTCATGTCATTATGTACGTATTTTTTTTCTTTGACCTAATTGTGATTTTATATAACTTATTTATTTATTGATATAGCTTGTTGAAATGTATATTGACGAACTTAATACCGTAGACATAACCTTTGGGTGATGTGGAGACAAATAAACGGTAGGGTGCACATAAGTGGTGAAAATTTTGTAGGAAGACACGTAAAACGTTTCGCAAAAAGAACCCTCCATTTAAAAATATAAAACCACATTTGAATCTACTTTTATTTCGTAAGGTCATGCGTTAAAACATGTATAATGTCCTTGGTACAATCATAACGAATTTATTTATTGATTTTAGCAAAGAGAAACATCAGTCTAATTGATTACAGTTAAACGCTTTAGAAAAAACACTACATAGTATAAAACAAAGTCGCTATCTCTTTCCCTATATCCCTATGTATGCTTAAATCTTTAAAACTACGCAACGGATTTTGATGCGGTTTTTTTCATAGATAGGGTAATTCAAAAGTAAGATTTTATATTTAATACAAGACCACGCGGGCGAAGCAGCCGGCGGAAAGCTAGTAATCAATAAACAGCTCGATGTTCTTCCAAAAAAAAAGCGTAGGAAATGGACTTTAATTTCTTAGTAAATAAAAAAAAGTTATTATATTATGTCTCTCGTAAAATTTAACGATGTGGTACAATAGTAATCATTGTTTTTATTATTTAAACCTTTTTACTGAAGTTTCCCACAACATTTCTGATCATCCTAACTAAAGGTAAAAAAATATGAATTAAACGTGAGTCGGATATAACTAGAACATACGTAAATAACATAAGATGTGGATAGGACGTGTTCCTTCCACACTGTTTCTAAAATTGTTCACCAGTGTGTAGCACGTACTTATGCAAAATATCAGTCTTATTAGAACCTGTGTATATTTAATAACTTAGACAAATTAGAGAGCCCGAAAGTCTATCGTAAACATACTAAATAACAGACAATGTCACACACACTGATCAGACACCAGTAACTAAAATACTTCTGTAACAGAAATCAAATTACTTTAGATACGATTAACATTCCAAAGTCAAGATACAGATTAAACGGATCGTTAGTCAGTAGACCCTTAAGTTTACGTCAACACCACAGAAATAAATCTAGTATTTCTGTGGTCAACACCATGAAACAGTAGGTGGACCAGCAACCCAACTATGAATCATCAATGAGAATAGTGCCTTGTATTTATACACGAAAAAGGATAACCATAGCAACATTTGTTCGTTGACAAAATAGGTATTTGCCGTTTTCATCCTGATTAAAAATATCTAATGGTTAACCACTATCTCATGTGAACCTACCCTGTATCTGAGTCCTAACACCTGAGGTTCCTTGCGCATACGCCGCAAGTTGTCATGCGTCAAAAACATAATATCCAAAGACATTTTTGGTACTAGCACTGCACTGTACACTTCATCGTCACTAGGCCACTCTTGGTCCTTTGAAACAATACACTAACACTTTATGAGGCACCATAAAGGAAGAATTGAAACTCGAAGAGTAGTATTTGTATGTCATAATGCATTATCAGGATAGGAGCGAGCGGTAACCACGAGTGCGCGCTGGCCGCACGACTGTCGGCGCGTGCGCATGTCGAGCCGATGCTGAAGTAGGGTTGATGCGGTTAGTCAAACTACTATTACAGATGCTAATCAAAAACATTGAGTAAAAGTTATATTTAATACACGATTGTAAAATGCGTGTTGGAAAATAGCAAGGCAGGCCATTATCATATATTCCTGTTGAAATTTATAATTAGAGAATTAGTGATTTGTAAATTATCTATGATGGTTGTAACAAATACTATCAATCAATATATGTATAGATGTACCAAATGGCATTTAAATGGCATATAAACAAAAGAAACAAAATCGATTACATACGGCATACGGCAATGTTAATTGTCAACCATTGACAACTGTCATGTCAAAGTGTAAATTGTTCTGAATATATTAATTCATTTTGTGTTAATAACCAAAACGCCATTGATAGATACCTTAAGTTACAAATATTGTTTTTAATCTTTATATCAAGACGTCTTTATCCTTTTTCCCCAATGTAGCCTTCTACAAATAAAAATTTCTCGTTTTGCTATCAGATTGTGGTACACCTATATAACAATAACAATATTTGCTATATATATTTGATTTTGCCGTGACAAATTAACATGTAAGTTTATGTTCGTCGGTAATGTTGAAATATTGTCTTTATGTATAAATTTCAGTACATTAGTATACCACGGTACGTTTTCTCAATACATAACAATCATATGACAAGTCTTCATAACACTACAATTTATTATTTGCAACAACGACTATGATGATATCATGCATGATCTATGATGATAATGATTTATATCTACTTGGACTTCATTTTATCATCATATATAACGGAAGAAAATTCAGAATTATAATTTGTGTCATACAGAAATCGGAACGAAAACACATTAGAGAATAGTTAATTTTACCATAAACCAATCGTTTACTTAATCGTTGGAATAAGTGCTGCTAATAATAAAAACTATTAATATCAACATTATATATTGTATACAAATTTATTTATATTAAAACTTTAACAATTGTGTCGTTAATAAATTATTTGTTTTTAATTTTGATCACCATCTATTATAAAGCAAGGGAAGTTGCTATTAACTTATTATAATCAATCAAACACCACATACTGATCGGTCAAAAGAAAATAATATGTATGCACATGCGTCTCATTACATGTCTCATACTTTTTATAATATTCATGTTTTGTTCATTTACAAACATAATGAATAATACAGATAAAACCTTGGTCGTAAATTAAAATGTATGTGCATTCGTAAAAACTGCATTAAAAAGTTAAAATACGTTCAGATAGACATTATAAACCTTCTAATCTTGCATGGATCCAGATCACTTTGAAAACCACAAACCTAAACTGACCAATCAGTCTAAATTAGTTTAATCCTAATGGAATAGTATTTTTCCCTACTAACCATTGCGGGACTTATATCTATGAACAAGAAAGAGTACAACAAGCACATATAAATGTCGTTATTAATACTATAGCCCTGATTGCTCGTGTAGGTAGTTGCTAGTGTTTCAAGCTACACATCCGAGACATCAGAGTTATCTGAGCCGAACATTTCAAGTAGACCGTGAGCTGTTCACGTTCCCCGCAAACTTTCTCTGCTTTCGACGCGAGAACGATAGTAATTAGACGTACTGCTGATTAATTATACAATATACAAACAGCGTAACAAATGAACGGTCGAACTTTTTTGCAATGTTCGATTGACGGTATATGATACTTGTCAACTTTTTATTAGTTTAACTTCGGCGTGGTTCTGAAGTCAAGTGGAAGAGGAAGTGAAAAATTTTTTAGAATTCAGATATTATAAGGACAACGACACGACGTATAGAATTTTAATAGATTGCAACTGACGCTTATTTATCTTATCATTAAGTTCAAATATAACGATTTCAATTACTTGGTGGTATTAACAAAAAACTAGTCCCGATTAATTCATCATCCCCGAGCGTAAACGTTTGGACCAACTATCTTTGGTCTTGCTCAATTAAGTTATAGAAGCGCAATGGGATAGAAATATACCTATAAACGAAGCAGCAAATCATAAGCATTTGCAATTATGAAATGTTATTTTACTCAACACTCAGAGGAACATTTCAAACATTACTTTTATTGTTTTAACGTGCAAAGTTATTTCTATTGCAGCATTCGTCGTGTGCCACGAAATAAATCATTGTAGCGTGTAACAATTAACTAACTTTTTATAGTAAACTAACGTGCTCTGACTGAAACTCTCAAAAAACATTAAAACAAGGAATTTCCCAAGAAAGTGGTGAAAGTTACATTGGATTTTTAACATATTCACATGGCATGTTCTCTTATGTAAGGGACTAAAGAAATAAACCAACAAAACACATGTACGAGTACTTCGTTATAGCTTGGTGTATTTCCGTCGATATACTTCTTGTTATATGTGATATTATCTAAACTTCTAAAAGCATATGGTTTTTAATGAAGAAACATGTGACCGGAATCAATGATAATCTGCCAGCAACAGAGCGATCACCTGCTTCCTCTAGCTATAACTGTATTCAAAGAATACAACATTTAAGTTATAACGCTATTTCGTTGCGTTTTACAATTTTTTTGTATTGAAGAATGATCAATATGGATTTGACAGCAGTATTTCCAACTTAGTTATTTATCCCAAAATCTACCAAAAGACATGTCAAAGTAGTAAATTGAAACGAAATATCGTCATTATGACGATAAGCATCTCATGTCGTATCC